AATGATACCAAACTTCTCCTAGGTAGGGCAATGCCCACTTTAGTGTAGGTCAAGATTTCTGGAAACCCCAAAATCTGGATTAGCCCACTTGTCCTTAAACGCAACCACTTATCCTTTTTCCATATATTATAATTTCCCTAAACTATTCCCCCCACTACATGTCATTGTCAAATTTTCTCTTCAACTTAATAAACGAAATAAGGACAAATCAATCTGAAGCTATTGTCACCAGCAAGGTAACCCATCAGAAACAGAACTGCACTCCACCCCTCTAAACTTTCTCTGTTCCAAATGAGTAGTAGTAGTAGTAATAGTAGTGTTGTAGTAGTAGGCCTAGTAGTAGTGGTAGTAATAGTAGTACATATGTATTCTTCTTATCTTAGTCTTGATGAAGTTGATGAATCTGGACTTTTTTACAGGAGGGATAGCTGGTTGAGCCTCAACTTCTCGAAATAAAATAAACTGATCAATTCTATGGAGGGAATGATAAGGGAGAAAAAACGATAACAGTAGCCCCTACTTGCAGTACTAATAAAAACTTGATATTAATATATATAGATGACAAGTTAACAGCAATTTTGTGCTCACAATAAGGACGCCATCCATTTGTTACCAGCACTTCGTTATTTATGATCCATACTCTACACGAGGCTGTAATGTTCATAAAAATCTGAAACAGACTGTGGGTAAAATTCAAAATAATAAGCTAACAATGCAAGCACACCACTCCTGAATACTATAAAATTAAAAGAAACAAAAACAAAAAAACGAACAAAACACCAAGAGACATTTCTCATGTATAGTTGTGTGTATTTTTCATAAAACATTAAAAATGCCACTTACAGCACAAAACAGGCAGCAAGGATTAACACACATAAACAAAACAACAAACAATATAGACAGACAACATGAATGTCAAATTCCATGAATTAAAACTCGGACACATTGATTTGTAACAAAACAAGAAAATACACATCATACAATGTTTAGCATCACTTGAAAATACTATACAATGTAAAATCATTGATCAGTGTTTACTGTTATAATTATAATAGAGTATCCAAAACAAATTAAAACAAGCCACGTTCTAAACATTTTATGTACACACCTTACTTATAAAAAAGAACAAAAAATTATCGAGATGAATTATGAGATGTGGATGGCATGATCTGTTAATACGACGAGAGATGCTTTTAACTCTTACATCAATGAAAAAAAAAATCTGCTTGACATACCAATCAAAGGCAGGTGGGAAATGTGAACCAGGACAAAAAAGATTGCAATAATAATTTGCAGCTTTTCTCACAATGAAGTAGGTATTGTTCACTGAAGTTTAAGCAATGTCATCTTGCTCACAGGGATATGGGCATATTTGTTTTTGTTGTACCTCTGTAAACAAAGCAGCAACAAAGACAAAAACAACAAAAAGCAAACAAGACAAAAACAACAAAAAGCAAACAAGACAAAAACAACAAAAAGCAAACAAGACAAAAACAACAAAAAACAAACAAGACAAAAATGAAGAGGGGAAAAAAATGTCTCAGCAATGGTGTCGGTGAACACAACACCCATCTGAAATTGAAGTAAATTTTAGACTATGGTGAGGAAAGAATTAAAAAATAAGTTAAAAAAAAAAAAGATTGTCGCAAAGACAGAAAGTGAAAAAGGTACCGTAATGAACTTCAACTTCAATGCCATGTACCCAGTGAGGATTGTTAATTACTTACCTGTCATACACACATTTCCAACCAATACTCATAACTCTCTGATATGCTGACATGTTGAAATTACACACTGTCCCAGTCGCATCCATATGTGTGTCAAGTAAAAATGTAATATCATATAGACAAATGCTTACAAGTACATGACCTACCATACAATCCTGTAGAATTACATTACATCCCTCTTGAGAACAGGATAATGAATATATCCAATAGGAGGTACAGCTTCAGAAATCATTTCCACAACTAAGAGAGAAACATTTTGTTTTTCACTGTTGCAGCCACCATGTTCAGTCCATGCCAAAACTTTTCTCTTTGTAGTTCTATGAAAGAAAAATTAAACGACACAGGACAAGAAGTTTTATTATCTGGAAAAAAGTAAAGTACAAAAAGCAATTTGCAGTTCTATATAAAAAGAAAAAGCTTTCCATAATATAATATAACACAATTTTCCGTTTAGATGTGCAGTTACCGTACTTGTAAGACTTTCAGTCCCCAAAAAGCCATGAATGAAGCAGTAATCACATTTCAAAGCTAGAGAAAAGATACCATACCAATAGTCCTGTTTATCACGTTTAGCAGTACAGTTGTCCTCAACTTGTACATACTTCAGAAAGATATAATCACGGTATTAACTAAGAATTTATATCAACCCCTCTTTTTGTGCAATCTTACACAAACCTCAGCAAGCAAACAATGCGGTTTTCTTTTCCTTTTACAGCAGTAGCAATTAAACTATAAAATAGGTACATGTACTTACATGTAGGCTACTGAGTTTCATCTATATATGCTAAAGAGAATCACACGAGCTACACTACAGAACAGACTTGGCCCGTGAGTCCACTTAGTGGAAAAATAACCAATTACATGACACAGCACTACACAAACATCCTGTCAGAATCAATCCCTGAAGACTGTATCAGTGGCCAACTGCCTCGGCAACACTACGTTTGTGCAATACATGGTTGTATGTAACGAATGCTAAAAATAATCATTCCTTAATTAAAGATCAAGGCCGGCAGTTTCAACCGCACAATCCAGAATTAGAAAGATGTCTTTAATTCCAAGCTGCCGATTCAATGAAAAATTCAACACAGATTTATCTGCTGTTTGTTTCAATTTGCATTTGCATGCTGTTTGGAGAGTGTGCCACACCTGGCTGACTTTGCTGTGAAGGTGATGGAAACGGGTGAGAAGAATGAGGATGAGGAGAAGCACCAAACACTTTGCTGTTGTCTCCTGTTGTCAACTTCGCTAATGCTGCCAGGGCATCAGGGAAGTTTGGAGGCGTGGCTGGTGTGTTTGCTGGTGTACACAACTGTAGAAAATGAAACAAAAAAGTTTGTTGAGTTTTGTTTGTTTGTTTTAATAGAGTTTTACGGCGCTCGCAACTGCATACGGTCATATGAGCGCCAAGGGGTGGATGTCAACAGAGAAGTCCAAAAGGGGAATCAGGCTTACTCTGCTCACCTCTCTAGCCTCAACAGCACAAAGTCTGCTTCGACTATCAAGGCACCCAGGAAATAGCAGTTCACAAGAGAGTGACAAACATACAAAAGAGGTAAATTTCTACTGTGCTTAAGAACCTATTAATATGCCCTCCTTTGGGAATGGCCTAAAGACACTTCAGTCCGTAGCACTGCCCGGGGGGGGGGGGGGGGGGTGTTGTTGAGTTTAAGACTTAATAAAAAAGGATGCACAATTACAAAATTAATGAATGGTATGGTATGGGACTTTAATGCTTTCCCTTCACCTTCATCAGTTATTTTAAAAAAGTGGGACTTCGTCACTTAACGTTCATATCTGACAGGACAGAGTCAGGTAGGTGGAGAGCAAAAAACCCCAAAACAAAACAAAACCTCCTTTAACAATGAACAATCCATCTTCAAAAAGGTTCCAAAAGGGGATTCGAACCAGAGTCACTTGAGCAAGACATAACTGACCTTATTGAGTGCACAGTTATTTGTCTAAATGGAATTCAAAGCTTGGAAAGTCAAAATAACAGATGGATAGAAATTTGAGTTACACAACGAGTCGCAGCACCATATGTTATACAGAATTTTTTTTAAAAGCTGCTCAATGGCAGCCAAATTCATAACTGCCTAAACATTTGGCTGTAAATAAAATATCGAGATGAAAGAGAAAAAGCTGCCTGTCAAAATAGAGGTTGGATTTGCTTATCGTTGCTATTACAGTTATTATAATCCACTGTCAATCGACTATTTCAAAAGTGGTCCAATTGTACCCATTCAGAACACCAGGGTGAAAAGAACATATTTCAGAGTAAAATAAGAAAGCGAAAAGAATTCAGATGCCACTCAATCAAAAAGCTTGAAATTGAATGTTGCCAATCAATTCATCGCCTAAATGCATCACAGTGGCCAGCCATGAGTTCGCCAGTTGGAACAATGAAATTCTTACCATATTACACTTAACACTTTTTGATTTGTACTTTAAAAAAAATTCGGACTTAAAAAGAGCACAACTTTGACTTTTAACATGACATAAAATGACATCCACCCAATCATGAAATAAAAAACATCACAGCAGAGTAGAACCCAAGACTAAAAAAAGGCATTCAAAGCAAAGTAGACATTATTTGTTGAGGAAGAAAGAAAAAAACAGGTTTGACATACAGCAAACTGTACAGAGCCAAACCATGTCACTGGGGATAGGACTGACTGTGAACAGCCTCAGGAATAAAATTTTAACTCATTTCATGAGACAAAAAAGGTTTGCCATCACGCTGTTGTTATCATGAAATGTCAGTGGGAAGCACCACAGGACCACAATACTCTTCTCCAATCCATGCCCCATTTTGTCCTGCAAGAAATTCGACACAATGGTCTCTGCCTAACAGCAATCCCCTTGGGATCCAAGCCTTTGCTGCTGTTAGGTGGAGGTTGCTGTTAACTGAATTTTCAAGGGTGTATGTGTGTGTACTGTGTGTGTAATGTCTACCCACCCACACCCCCATTACACACACAAATCCTAATTGCATAATGTGATGATGGGTTTGTCTGAGAGCAAGAACATAGGCAGCGCCAGTGAGGGGATGCTCCATTGTTGGGTGATAATAATACACAATGGCCAAGGACCCCCCGACGTAAAGAGACTGAAGGAAGGTGGCTCTTTATGACATGGTGTGAACTAAGCTCCTACTCAGCATAATTATTTTTCTCTTGAGCAGGTGTTTTGAGGAGATGAGGAGGGACGCATGCACACTTGATATTATGGGTCAATCTGTTTTTGAACCATCAAAATTTTTTTCTCACACAATTCATTGCAACAAAGGTTGCTGTTACTAGTGTGAATGGAAATGGTTGCTGTTAAAGGGGTTGATTTAAAATAAGTCTGCTTAAAATAAAACCCCAGATTTTTCCCCCTTCTATTTGAGCAAAAAAACAGTAATCTGCGGGATGGTCGAATTCTCTCAGTTTAGAGGTTGCTCAAATAGAAGGAAAAAAATCTGGGTTTTTATTTTTTCCAGTTTACGGATTAACTATGTCCAGCAACCTTTGAATGTTGATTAGCGGAGGATGCTAGTTATGTATCTGGGTTGTTGAAGTGGACACCATTGTTTCAGCTTCTTCAGCTAGGTTTCTTTTTGGTTCTTTAAAAACTATTGTTGATGCTAAAGCAACACATCCCTCCCAGCTCTCCTGTAAATGAAGGCCACATGAAAGGACAATTGTAGAGTAGTCTATGGTTCATATGCAGGCAACAAAAAGTAAATGATTAAATGGGATTACAAAAGAACTATGTTATAATGATCCTTACAATACAGAGGAGAGGATATCATTGCAGGATTTTTTTAAAGAATCAGTCCAGACTTTCCTTTTGAAAAGAGTGGTGAAAGGCCACAAAGGAGTACAACGGACTGTAAATAAAAACCCTGCTCGACATAAATTTTTAACATTTGGGTGATAAATAGGCTGTCAAATGCAAATCGAGAATAAGTCAGTACCAATTAAAGCTGATTACCCTAGAGAATTGTGAGTGGACTCAACTATAAAATTGAAGCAGTTACAGGGAAAATGACCAGAAGAGGACAACAGTTCAGCAAACATGACAAAGGTAGAAGTCAGTCATCAATCAGAGCCTACACCGCCGTCAGCAATTTTAAAAGTACAGTAATCTAACTCAATTTCTATCATTTGACAGACCAGAAACTGACACCATAGTTGCTAAAGAACAAGCAGGTTTAGAGAAAAGAAAAGCCCTACAATAAAAAGTTTGAATTTGAAATAATATTTATGTGAAAAGTGCCTCCGGTACAAAACCCTCAATTGGAGTCTATTGCCTGTATGATGACTTCAAAAATGCATTTGACAGCCCGCTTGAAACCTTAAAAAACCAACCCAATATGAGTAAATCTTATCGGAATGACAGACGACACCACAACTTTTGGTATAATATCAATAAATCATGCATAGCACATGAAAACAAAATTGTTTTATACTGGACCGACCAAATTATCTCTGAACCCCCCCCCCCCCCCCCCCCCAACTTCTGTATGAGGAAACAAAAATCAAAATAAGCACATCAGCAGTTTCATCTTGAGGATTCAAATTAATGTTACCCAAATTCTCCCTATTTCTTCATCATAAACAGTCAATGTATTGGAAGTATTTTTTGTTTTAGTAATAGTTTTACGGCACTTGCAACACAATAAGGTCAAAAAGTGCCGAAGATTAGAGGTGCTACAAGAGAGTAACAAACATAAAATAGAAGGAGGGGAGATCAAGACAATAGATGTGTGACAGGAAAGAAGTAGCAAACCACACCAGAGCACCCGCCAACCACCCACATTGGAAGTCAATAAAAATGTAATTGAAAACACTCAAATCTATTAAAAGTATGGCATTAATTAATGTTTTTTTTACATTGCCCCTTAAAGATAATCTAAATAACTACTAAAATGATTCCAAATAGATTTTTAGTGGTACCTCTGAAGTTACTTTCACAGCTTTACTAAAAATTTTTAAAAAATTAAAAATTGAAAGACATCTCGAAATGTGTCATACATTTTGAGTCATTTGAACAGTCAATGCAATAAAAGTAGTCACAACAGCTTATAACGAAGTATAAAAAATAATAATACAGAACAAAGGTAGCTAAGTAATACAGGTAGATAAAAAAAATATAATTAAAGACATGTGGCACATCTAATGGTAGTAATGTAAAGTTTTGGGATTTTAAACCTAGCAAGTCTTCTCACAACTTAAACGAAACAAACCCTTTGTGCTTTTAATCATGGGAGACTCGATGTTGAAACACTTTCTTAGCACATAGATCTATATGTGTGAGCCTAAAGAAAAGTACCAAATGTCGGATTTTGACCATTTTGAGTTAAGGGTTGTACCTTATAGGACACAGGGGTCTTTGAATTTTTTCAGATATCTCAAGTAGTTTTTGAGATATTGCACATTTTGCGAGGTAGGGTATAAAAATATAATTTTGAGAAAATGAGCTTTTAAGTTTAATAAACGTGAGAACACATACAAACTTGACAAAAACTATTTTTTAATTGTATTTATTCATCAAAAATTCATTTCCAATTATGTATCAATGGTAAAACAGCAGGGAAGAGAAAATGTGCTTCAAGAAGAGATTTTAACTCTTTTAAAAAGCAGTTTTCATTATTTGTTTTTATCAAAATAACCTTCCCTCAAAATGATGCAAAGTAAAATAATTAGAAGCCAAATACGTGAAAACTCTTTGAGCTCTTAGTAAAAAAAAAAGAGGTGGATCTACCATTTTTTTAATGGAAACACATTTTGGTCAAAAGGTGATTTTTGTCATTAACAGCATGTAGCTCGAAACGGTCCGGGCGACTTTTGGTACCTTTCTCTAGGCGCACACACATCACTGACATCATGATAATAAATGAACAACCCTTTAAAAAAAATAAAAACCAGCTGCTTCATATCTGTGACACCACCCTTCATTACAAATTTCATCACTTGCAAGAGCAACATTTTAGAAGTTACGCATGAAATGACCAATATTTGCTTTTCTTTCTTTCATCCTGAAAATTCTAATGAAGATAATTTAGAGTAAGCTGCTGTTATTAATTACTCATTTCCCTATTCTGTAAGTACCATTCTTAATTCAAACTGAAGCCACTTGACTTTGTTGCCTTATATGGCGTAAATGGTACAAGATGAAAATGCATAACTTTTAGCTTTGTGCTGTACCATGGACATCATGAACGTTGGCAGAATTTGCAGTACCTAGTTGTCTAATGTTACTGATACATGTAAGTCCCGCTAATCATTTGGATGTTTTTGTAAATTCTTCTATACAGAGATTTAACCACAAGCACAGTGTAAATTTGTATTCGGGAATAAAAAAACACATTGGTACAAAATTGCTAAAAAAAGTTCGTTTACTGAGCTGCTACGCTTACAAGCAATCAATAAACACAGGCCTAGTCTTGCCCTCGTTTCATAAAACTTGAAAATGTAAACACCAAAATGTAAATGACAGAAAAAGGCAATAAATTTCACTTTTTGAATTAAATTTGAAAGTTTTTCAAAATTAAGGGTAAAATGGGGAATATAGAGTACTATTATCAAAGGCCCAGTCTCCCAATATGTCATGAGTGGGCTAGATCTAGACACCGAGTCCATTGAGACTTAAACTGACAGTACGAACCCACACATCCTGCCAACAAAGGGGTTTATTGAATTCTTTTCACAACAATTTTGTTAAAAAGATAAACCATTAGCAGGACAACAAGAATTAAAAAAAACAACATTCTTCCTACCCCCAGATACATGGTAATTCTCTCATTAATATTTCTTGGAATAAGCTCACAATTCATGCTGGGAAAACAAAACAAACAAACAATTAAAAACAAAACGCTTACTACAACAATCACCATAAAGTTTACTTGTTTTACTAAGACTAAGAGTAAGAATGCTCCACTTCTATCATTTATTGACTGTCATCTCTTGCAAAGAAGCAGATTTGGCTAATCTTAATTAAAAGACACACATTTACATGTTGATTCCTCTTCAAAGAACTGCAAATTCTCTGCAGCTTTGTTTTATATTTTATCAACGAAGTGAGTATTTCTCCGAACGTTCGGGAAAACAAAAGTTCAACTTTATTTCTCCGAACGGTTTCCGATCTCGAGATTTTTTGGGTTATTTGCGGGATTTAGGCGTCATCCTTTCATTCTGCCATTCTGCAAGGCCTGGGAAGAAGCATTTTTTGCATTGAATTCAATTTCTAGAGCTAGAGATTTTAAAATGTCTGAATATTCAGATATTTCAGTTGAGGTGAGGGCAACGTTCCTGGACTATACTTCATTTGAAAATACCTTCAAAAGGTACTGCGAGAAAACAAGGCTGATCGACCTTGGCAGTAACCTATTTTGCATTAAGTCACCCAGCAAAAACTAAAATCCTTCATGTAAAAAAAAATCCCCCCCCCCCACACGCACGCCGACACACACACATGCACTCTCACACACACACGGGCCACTCCATTCGCTTATTATCAACAAATCCCGAGAACGGAAACGTTCGGAGAAATAGAGTGCAAGTTTATTTTCACGAACGTTTGGAGAAATAGAGCTGGCCTTTTATCAAACTAAATTTGGTATTCTATTTGTCTTTTTTCACTGAACTATGTATTTCTCTGAAGTTTGAGCACTCTTACACATGGAGTGTATGACGACATAACCCAATGAAATATAATATATATAAAGAGTGACACAATTAAACTCATTGCATCCACCATATTTCAGTAGCAGAATATATTAACCATAATTTTTCTAATACTAGCCATTGCTGTGAGGAAATACAAGGGAAAATGTCTCTAATGTTTGAACTTAATGTTCATTCAGGCTATTTTATTTTACCATACACCCAGAGCTTAAGTGGAAATGTGCCTCCCAACAACCTTTAACAGTTTTGATACTTATATAATTCTTGTTGCCTCTGATACAAGTTATTATTAGAGGGGACCCCCCCCCCCCCAAAGCTATTAGAAGGACCTCCCCCCTTAAAAAAACCCAAAACCCCACAAAAACAAAACAACCCCAACTTCAGTCAGCCACACAAAGTGCTGTCGAAGAGTAGAGTAAAATTAAATAATCAGACTCTGGGACCAGAATATGACGCTAATATTAATATAGAACAAACACAAGCTGGAATAATTCCAGTTGTTGTTTCTCTATGAATAGTTAAGAGAAAATTTTCTTCAAAAATAAAAGAGTATATAAATAAAAGCAGAGTGACGGAGTATCCGCGAGTCTAAAATTTGAACAGAGGACTCTCAGAGGAGAGTATTATAATTGGTATGTTTTTTACTAATACACACCCGTCTCATGTACAGGTTTGATATACTTTTTTTCTAGTAATATTTTGAATGCTGAACACAAATATGGCCTTCATTTTTGCCGCAAATCAAAAGTTACTGAGTTATTGATGTTTTAAAACAGAACTAGGACCAGTGGCGTAGTAATATTTGATTTACTTTTAACAACATGGGGGGGGGGGGGTTCAGGGCCCTGAATTTCACAATGATTTGATGTTTTGGCAATTAGGATTGATATTTGGAAGAGGCTAGCTGTATGACGGCTAGACTGGCAGTCTAGCCGTATTTAAGTATGGCTAGACTCGCAGTCTAGCCGTACTTATTCTTAATATGATGTCTAGACTGACCATTTACAAAAAATAGGCCTACTTAATTGTAAACATACATTTTTAGTGTGCAGTACCTAAAGTATTTGTATTTGAGACGAAACCAGGTGCTATATAAAGGGCGTGAGCCGGGCTACCCGGGAAGTGCGCAGGCCCTATATAAAGGGCACAGACGCTGACCCTTTTCAATGGAAAATTCCAGTATTCCTTATATGTAAAATGACGTAGTCATTTACAGGCCAAAGTTATAAATAGTGACCAATGACTTTGCAAGTTATCTTGACCTCGTAGAGCGTCTCTTGGCCGAGATATCGATCGATAAAGTGACGCGGTCCCGCTGAGCGACTACACGCTATGTGTTATTACTTGTTTCGCCGTGCTGATGTACTAATTGTTGAGTCTATCGCGTTCTCGGCTTTGTTTGTATTTATTTGATCGCTGATCATTTTTAAATGGCTCATTCTATCAGCTTAAAGAAAATATATATGCTTTTATATGCTTTTTATCATCCATTGAGCCGTAAATGGTCATTTTTCAGTAGCAGGTATACATTTCGGGTATCTCAGCTGTTCCCCCCCCCCCGCCAAACCCCCATGTTTACAACTGATCGGCCGTGGCGGCGGGGCATTTTTGGCGGGTTACTTCCGGTGAAACGCCTAGCGCTTCTAGGGTTAATGACAGTGCATGTATTTTAAACCTCCTGTTTTCTAATGTTAATAGGGCCTAAGATAAGTACGGCTAGACTTCTTATCTAGCCGTACTTAAGTACGGCTAGACTTCTTGTCTAGCCGTACTTAAGTACGGGTAGACAGCCAGGCTAGCCGTACTTAAGGACGGCTAAACTGTCAGGCTAGCCGTACTTAATATTGATGGCTGAATTGTAAATGAAATTTTTAGTATGCAATGTCTTAAGTATTTGTATTTGAGACAAAACCAAAAGGTGCCTTACTGATTTGCATGTATTTGAACCTGAATAATTACTAGATCTAGATCTAATGAGACCTGTGTACTTAACAGGCTTGAGTCGATAGGGCCAAACCTAGATCTAAGTACGGCTAGACTGGCAGTCTAGCCGTACTTACGGCTAGCTAGCCACTTCGTTGATATTTACATGAAAACAATTGATTTGCAAGGGTTTTAGTGGCCATACGTGTGTTCTGCAGCAAAAATTATGTCAGTTTAGAATTCATATCAGTGCATCTGTGTGTGGGTGTATAAGTAAAAATTTACCGTACATCTACCTATCATTTATATTATTATTGTTGTGAAAAATGTCAAGAATGATAAAGTATCATATCAAATAGGGCAGGACACGAGAAATTATAATCCAAATATGAATCAAGTACACAACATAGTCACAATAGGTAGTCCTCTAGCCTCAATACAACAGTAGGCCTACACTACAGTTACAGTCGATAAAGTACTCACCGGGTAGTTTCCATTTGTGTGACTTCGGTTACACGTCCGGCACATGCTTGGGACTGAAGATTCTTGAAAGAACATACTAAGCGCTGCCTGAAAACAGAAACAATACAACTTATGATTATCTTGCTCTCTTTGTAACCATAATAACTTTTCTTCATGCGAAATATGTAACTCTTCAAAGATATTCAAAAGGGTACAACAAAGGTCTTTCGAGCACAAGAGCAGTACACACACGAACACGCCACACTTGAAATGATAAACATTCGGCCATGTTTACGATCTCAAAGTCGAACACCGAAGAGGTTACCACCTTACCTCAAATTGCCATTGTGCTGCCTGTAGAAACTGTTTTGCTTGTTCAGCGTGACACCCAGCAGCAAGGACAAATTGATTTATCATCACTTGCTGCTTTAGATTGTCCATGATGTGACCAAAATATTGAGTATTTTCCTAACTGAACTGACGACACTGTTTTGACGAGATTGTAAACACATCTGAGCAGTCTGCGTATTAGCCAATCACAGATAACGTTATATCGGCTAGAAACGTAAAACAAAATTTCATTGGCCGAAATAAGCCTAGCGGTGGGAGGAAATAAGAACAGCGTTAGACGGAAGTATTATCGTTCTGCATGTCAACAATGGTTTGCTAAGATTAAATCTGACACAACTTTTGGTGGACATTCAATCATATCTGAATAGTATCTTGGCTTTTCAAATCTGAAGTAGCTATATTATAGTCTGGAAAAACTGTATTCAGACTTGTAAACATAAATCGTTCATTTTGTTTATATAGTGACATCACAGTAAAAACAATACGTCACATCCTGTTTTGACTGCTTTGCTTATGCTTCATTCTCCTCAACATGGCTGACGGAAAATCTTGTTCCTGTTTATCCTGTTTGCTATTGTGAAGATCAAGAACCTTCTTTTGCTATGGGGGCATCTTTCACAAGGAATCGCAATAATGGGGAAGAGAGTGGTGATGCGTCCTCTCAAGGCGCCTACAGATACCCGCCGAAAACAGGTGCGCTGATCTGACGAGTTTTCCTTTATAAAATTCTCAGTTCAGTTCAGTTGAGTAAAAATGAGTTGATGATGAGTTTCGTTCGTAGTCGTAGAGAGTCGAGTAGCAACTCGGAAAGGGTGTGTTGCCTTTCATTGATGATTGACAGTTCTCTGTTGTTGATCAGCTGTCAATGGCAGCATCAGTGGCCTTCTTGAGCATTAGCAGACGACCACTGTCTAGATCTACTCTGGCTATCTATGGAAGGACTTCCGTAACGAGCGACCACCCCATCAAACACAATCAATAAGTATAAAGAAGAGGCCTAGACCTAACCCTACCCCTAACCCTAACCCTACCCTTACCCCTACTCCTACCCCAAGCCCTCAATTCTGCTCTGTCTCATAGTGGTCGCTCGTTACGGAAGTCCTCCCCTGGCTCTGGTAGAAAGGGGGGGGGGAGTGTAGATAGGGGGGGGGGGGGTTAACTCCCCTGCTAAAGTCACAAAATTTATAGTAAGATGTAGCAATGCCAATCGCCCGCTGCGCCTTGGGCCGGAAATCGGCCTCCGCGCGAGGGGTAATTTTTGGGCCGCTCGGAATCAGAAGTGACTCTTCTAAGTCTAAGTATAGTTATGGGAAAACTCCTGGACGAAAATTATAAATGAAACTAGGCAACCAATCAGAGGAAAGGTTAAACTAACGACATGCCAGCGTACAACCCCGAACGATTACTAGAACCGGAGATATTGCCGTGTTTGTGCGAATTTCCTCTGCGGTTCGAATACTAAGCAGAGCTGCGGGTTGATCGCTGACCACACAAGCGCCCCACATGTCTTCTTTATTGCTGTAAAATTTCAGATCTCTGCGTTTAGTAGATTTTACGTATCAACTTAAAATTGCCACCCATCCGTTAATAAAACACTAGAGCTGGAAACTAGATCAGGCATTCCAAACGCGAGGTGCCGGCATGCAAGAGGTGCGTGATCGCTAGGCGACATGTGATTGGCTGCCTATTACCAAATAGGTCACCGTTGACTACATCGCGGGTTTTCCCGATAGCGCTTTACTGAGTCTTAGAAGGGGTGATCGCGTCGCGGTAAAAACAATGTCACGCAATTCAACAAATTTCACGCAAATATCAGTCTTTAGGATCCATTTCAAAGTAATAAAGACATCGAAAAAGTGATAGCAGAACTAGATTCTGCACTAATAATCACATGAAAATGCCAAGTTTCATTCATATATGCTCCAATTCATTACTGACGTATGAACAGTTTTTCCTCAAAATACATCAAAACATTTTATGAAGGTCTTCCAACATTTTGCAAACAAAAATCCCAATAACTTTTTTATTTATCAGTGGATTTTTAAAATTTAAAAACCATAGTTAGTTCTTAGAATTTACTCTATTTTCATTTAAGCCCATTTTTAAGCAATTTGGATGAAAATTTAATTTTTCATTGTCATTGCTAAAAGGTGTAGAGTAGCCTACCTGGCCCAACCCGTGACCTCTTGTCGTATTTTGCTTCTCAGCGGTCTCTGTCGGCAAAATAGGTCAGGCAGTTCATGTTCGGGGCGGCTTCAGTGTGTCAACTTCCGGTTACCGTGATATCCGTCGTCACTCATTCTAAAACATCATTGGCATTGGCAGATTTAGCATTTTAACTCTTGTCCTGCGTCTGTGCCGAGATGCGAATCTTATCAGCAACCGATTACGTCGGACATGCTGGGCAGGCTGCGGGGGTCACTTTCAAGTGAATATGGTTACAGTCATTCGAAGCATTAAATTAATAGTTTGAAGCCATTTTGAATGGACCATTGCACTTACTCTTATATTAAGTGGGAAAGTTCGGATTGTTGATTAAATTGTAAATGTAATTATTGAATAGGCCTACCTATTGTTTTGCTAAGCCTTTTAAAATTGTATTTTGAAGGCAGAAATAACTAACCTTTTAGAAGGGAGCTGACATTTTACTTTTCTTTTTCTTTCAAGTTTGTTGTTGTTCTCCCTTGAAGAGGATCTTCAGGTTATGCTGAAATTTCTACAAAATCAGTTTAAAATCTTACGCTGTAAGTCTGTATTTTTTTAAAGATTCTGGTAATATCTCGGACCAGCAAGAGAAACCATGGATACACCTGTATTATATCTATAAAATTACCATGTTTTTAGATTTTTAAAGTTGACTCGAGGGGTTTTCTTGGACGTTCTCTTCTATTTTTTCAGAATTCTGGTATGTCCCTGTACTGTGGGGATTCAAATGACCTCACTTTTAGGGAGGGTCCCCTCTTTTATATCATCTGTTAAAAACAAGGGGTTATGGCCATAGTGCGTAAACTTTATTAATAGGTTCTGTTGATTACAAAGGCTATTCTAATGTGCAAGTGATAAGATAATTTAAACTGTATTGATCCATGGGGAAAATTCTGAGTTTTGGATGGAATATACCACAACATCAACATACAAAGATTCAGCGTCAATACAGAAATGCACTCATTACATTCATGTTTAACAAATCAATAAGCAAACGACAATGCAGAAGTCAGTAGTCAGTCACAGAAGCATACCCAAACTGTTTTTATAGGCATGAATTCTCTTCTTCTCCCATGCTATCATAGTCTGTCTGTCTGTCTGTCTGTCTGTCCGTCTGTCCGTCTGTTTGTCTGTCCGTCCGTCTGCCGTCCGTCCGTCCGTCCGTCCGTCTCCCTCCCTCCTTCCCTCCCTCCCTCCATCCCTCTGTCCCTCCCTCCCTCTCTCTCTCTCTCTCTCTCTCTCTCTCTCTCTCTCTCTCTCTCTCTCTCTCTCTCTCTCTCTCTCTCTCTCTCCCCCTCTCCCCCTCTCTCTCTCTCTCTCTTTCTCTCTCTCTCTCTCTCTCTCTCTCTCTCTCTCTCTCTCTCTCTCTCTCTCTCTCTCTCACACACACACACAGGCAAACTCACATACTCTCATAGTCTTCTCTCTATCTCTTCTATACTCGTGGCACAAACAGATTATAATCACACACAGAAAGGTAATTCTGTCCTATACTCCTATTGGTCATTGGTCTTAGATTTGTTCTTCTTAATCTGACAGAACAAGGGACAAAGGAGTTCTTTTATCTCTCTGGTTTTGAAGTATGCATGAGGGTTTTAGTTTTAGTGTTTCTAGTTCTAGCACATTTGTTTATGCTTCATAGAGGGTTTTCAGTATGTGGTACGTAATTAGAAATTTTGAAATAACTGCAGACAATGTGATATTGAGTATTTAGCTAGGTAGTATTTATCTGATAGTTGTTTGATTTGTTTCTAGGCAGTTACTTTGGGACCCACTTCATCATGGGTGGAGAACGATTTGAGTCACCACAGCCTGGAGAATACCTCTTTGGAGACAGTGAAGAACTTAACTTCTTAGGCAACAAGCCTATGCCTGTGAGTGATTTTTCAGTTTCTACCTGTTTAATTTCAAACTGTCTTTATTTTTTGAGTGATATGATTTATCCTTTTGTTTTATTATTCTGCATGCTGTTTAACTGGTGCTCTTATGTGACATGTTTTGTAACTGTTCAGTCTTTTTCTATCTTTTTGCCATAATTTGTCAATGGCATCATCATGCTTGTAAGCACCTCATTTGTAGCTGCTTTTTTATTTGTTGAAGTGAAGTTTTTGAGCTACTGTGGAGTCCTCCAAATTCTGCAGAGCAACCAGGTTTTCTTTGATTTAGCCGTGTTTTTGGTTTAGAGAGATTGCTCGAATCATGATGATTGTCGACAGTTTGCTTGTGGCAAATTTCACATTTTGAAAGTTTTTCCTCATACCTCTTTCAGTAACTGCAATTTGAACTGCTGGCTGTAATCTTTGTGCTTTATGTTTGACGTTGTCGGCTTGTTAATCTGTTGACAGATGAGACAAAAGATTAGATCAGCACACAGAACTGTGCTCTAGGCTAGGTTTGCCTAGACAAGTTAGAGAGCCCAATGCTAGTGGTGTCTTGAAACACACAACATGCTGTCATATGCTCATGTGTAGGGCGATTGTGAACTAGATTTACATAGGAAATAGACGGTGACCAATCCAAGGTTGTGCGACAGGATTACTTTTGCTATCTTAAGAGTCACTGGGCATAACCATTGAGCGTAGGCCAATTGATGTGTATGATAAATTATAGAGGCAAACAATACCGTGTTGATGTCTATCTCTGGTAGGCAACTAGACACGTGTATTTTTATGTCTCTGTCTTCTGTTTCACTATCTTAAAGCAGGTAAGGCTCAATGATTTCCTTTACTTGAGAGTTGTTAGTAGAGATTTGATGGCGTAACCTTTGAAATTCTTTGTGGTTTGGAATGAAATACGAGCATTTGGGCTCAGTGAAAGGGGGTTTATTTTTCAGTTTACTGTTGCGTTTAGATTAACAATTTCATTTTATGCTGAGTCTACTGTATTACATTTTTCTTGCGAATAATAAAATAATAAAATTATTGTAAATATAAAATATGTTACTAATTACTAATACATTTCAATTTTGTTCTAATTCCAGTTTCCATATCCTGTCCCGTCTGGAAATGATCCAACGAAAACATTGAAAAGCTTGGTTTACATTCGCAAAGATTCACTTCGAATTGTGAAGTGAGTATGATACGAGGGAAGCTGATGGAAAATTTTATAGTCTAAGAATTGCAGTTTCCTGGCCTGAGATAATTTTGAAATATAAGGCAAAAGATGTATTCAACATCTCATGTCCATTTGTGGTGTCAATTTATCTTTTTGAATGGTGTCCAAAATTATGCTTAAAGCACCTGGGCCCCTAACCTAAGACACTGCTGTTGTGGTAAAATGAATGGTTTTGTGTTCCAGTACATTTGAAATTGTTTACTTTACAATTAGCAATGTTAAAAGATAGATTTGAATCTGCAGAAAGTAAAACAATTAAAATACTTTATTATTTGTAGATAACTAGTTAATGGTATTTAGTTGTTCGTATTATTTGTAACCCTATTCACTTTTTAAAAGAACCGAATAACCTTTCTTTATTCTTCATAGAACTCCAGGGGCCACACAAGATGCAGCTGGAGATGGGACCAGCATCCCATACAACATTGAGTTCATTCTTGACTCAGATGTCAGGTGTGCCGTCAGGATTCACTATTTTGCATCGGAGGAAGTCATGAATGGCCAGATTGTGTAAGTTGTGTCTTGCTATACAAATATTGGGTTCAGATTTATGTTACTAACTAGTTTTTACAAGTGATTCTAAAGATAGAAAGTATTTTTTCAGGGTTATAAACGTTTCAGATTTCCTCTGATTTCAGATTTTTATGCCACTCCTTTTGTAAAAAAAAAATGAGAGAGAGAGGAGGAAATTAATGCAAATGCAAAGCAAAAAAGTTTTGTCTATATAATCTAACTGAATTGCGTGATGCATTTGCGTTTGAATTTTGCACATAATATAATAGCCCTTCTACTTCTAGTCATTGGCGCACATTAAATTGGCACAGAAACACACATCCTTAGTTTATTTTCACATCCCACTTAAAATATGCAATGCTCACTAGACTTCTATAATCATAACAAAAATTTCCCAGGATTTAATCGGTAGTACAATGATTTTTAAGGTCCGATGTTTTCCTAGGAAAAAGTCAGAGAGCTTTTGAAAAACTTGTTGTGCCAGTAGTAAGAAAATAGTACTGATCTGGTCGGGTTTTGTTTTGAATACATTGAATATTGGAACTGATGTTGAAATTCCTTGGAAAAGTGCTAAAAATGTTTACCACTGTATTTGTGTCCGGACACATTCATTATAATAGTAGGATGTTCAAAATTCTTTTAAAATATTGGCATGGAATAAGACTGCCATATAGGTCTAGATGCAGACCTTGTAGTTTAGTCTGAGATAAGAGCAGTACTGCCAAGATGTCGACTTCTACTTGGCACACAAAATGTGTTGATGATTTGAGAAAGTAAAAATGGTGGCAACCATAAAGTATGTTGACCCAAACTAACCTGTTGATGTTATCGATGTTACATTATAAATCATGTTGCATTTGGCTTAGCTCTCAACAAAAGATACTCACAGTGATGGTCCAAGTATAACTGAGAAAAATAAAGTATAAGGAAAATCAACAAGGATGGGTTAGCTTGGTGCTGTTTCTGCAGTTCAGAGAAAAATATTTAAGTGATGGCAATGGGTTGCCTTGCTCTGCCCCTGCGCTTGCTACTTGCGGTGTTTGACCGATCATGCAACAAAGAAAGTACACAAGAGAAAAGGGACAGAAATGAACTTGGTGTTTTTTGTTTTTTTAAAAACAATTGGGAGACCCCAGACCTCCCCCCTCCCCCCCCGTGGCAGTTGATACTTTTTTTTAAGAGTGCCCATTTTCATCCCTGTGTTTTTCTTTCATTCATCAAGTTCATAATGTGGTCATCTTTCTAAATTTTCATGTGATGTTAATGTGAAGTCTGTTAATATTCTATTTATTAGTTAGAAGAGCACTGAACAGCTGTGAATGACGTAACTAACAGCGGAAGAAGATATTGTTCCTTTACCTCCCAAATTATATTTGTAATTTCAGAAGACTATCTCATTATTATTTGTATATTTATGGAATGATGGTATTTCTCACACAGATACCATTCAAAGGACAGTTCCATGAGTTCTGAAATATTTCATTACAAAAGAGGATCTGGACAGTCTTTCAGTCAACCTTCTCACACAGTTGAGCCGGCGAAATATCCTGAGGAGGATGTAAGGAGTGGTGTTTTCAGTTGTTTGAATGTGGAAATTTTTTGTTGTTGTATGTATCATTTAAAAAAATAAATAATCACCCCTAGTATATTACAAGTACATATTATTGGATGGAAAAATACCACTTTAAACTACCAATGGAAAATGACTGAGTTATCGCTTTATGATAATGATGATTTTTGTTTTTCTTTGCATCACTATTATTATTGGTGTAATCAGATCTCTTATTACTGTTAAATCTTTCAATCCTGAGTGTTTTCCACTGTTTCCCAAAGCTTTTTCTACAGTCACTTACACCTGGTGCACTATGTCTCATTATAACTTTCTAAATACGCAATCTGAACTTGCCGCCAACTTCTAAATGTCGGAAACTTGGATCGGGAATAGTTCTGAAAACAAGCAAAAACTAGCACTAAATGAAACAAAACAGTTGTCACTAGTATCAGACGGTCCCAGCATCTGATGGGGAACAGGGTTATTACCGCCGAATGCTCCCAGCGTCCAGTGAGGTTTAAAGAGTTAAATGTATATTAATATTATGAAAGGTATGTATAATAGTGGGGGCCAATATGTTTGGAAAAATGTTATTTCAGTATGTATTTATTTATTTCTCTTCTCGAGTTTTCCCAACTTTTCCCCCCCCCCCGGTTTCCTTGATCAGTGCACATGTAGAGTTGAAGAAAATTAATACTGTGGTGACTAATTGTCACCAACATTGCATTACTTTCAATAATGTCTGTTGATTATGGAAAAAAATAAAGTGACAGTACCATTTAGGGATAATAATAAAAGATATAGGCTGAAGGAAGCAGACAAAGGTCATGTTAAAATGAGAATGAATGCCAATAACTCTGATCTTTAGTACCGTATAACTAATAAATGATGATTGACACTGGTAAACAAATGTTTAAAGCAATTTGAAATAGACCTTTACCATGCATGGAATAATCTGTTCATTTGACATACATGTACATGTTCTCTCTCTCCACCCCCCCCCCCCATTTTTTGTGGTTTTGTCAGAGCTTTATTTGATCAACATCAGATAATACAAAAACTCCTGTCACTCCTCTCAAAGACAAATAAACAGAAACATCAGGTAGGGCAAACTAGGGCCTCCTGAGGTTAGAAAAGAACCTTACAAAGCTGACTGAAAAGTAGACAAATTTCTGGGAGCACTGATTTGATGTTTTCTTTTTTTCTCTGCTCTTTTCAACAGTGGCAGTACAGTTATGACAAAGAAGTCTACCCTATTGCTATTCATTGTACAGTTGAAGAGGAAGGTATGGAAGTTGTGTTGAAGATTTTTTAATTGTTCAATCTGTCTCAGCCCACAAAGGTGTGCCAGTGTCGCCTGCTTGTTCAGTGACTTTTCCAGTGTCACGGTTGTCTCTGTCTGCTGTCTGGTTAAATGCTCTACTTTACGTTATCCTTGTTAGGCATCAAGGGGAAGTGCAATTTTCGGGGAAAGACAAGGTTGATGGCTTCTTTTGTTGGTATGTTATTCATTTGGAGGACCTCTTTAATGTTAACCAGTTAAGTATTGCATGATCTGCCCCTGCTCTTGTATCCAGACTCTTTGTTAGCTTTCGCAGCTGGGTGATTTGGTGACATTCTCATCATATGGTTAAATATGGCCTCATTGTGCCAACTGCCTGTAAACTGAGACTCTTCTCAATGTAGAAAAGGTATCTGTGTGTCTTTATTTAAGTCCAGCTGCATGATAATGATTGTGAATGATAACAGATGAATTAATGGCAGAGTTTTGCTCATTTGCTGTGGATTGCATGACAGTATCGTCAAGCAGGGGTCTTAGTACAATGTAGAGTTGCTGTTCTATTTCTTTGTCGGCACAACTCTTTACTCGATCTGGACCAGTGTCTGTGGTGTTTAGATTTGGCTTTACTTCAACTTGTTGCGAAACATGTGAGTATTCCACACTGCCTGGGCAGGCTGTGTCAGCTTCTCCATGTGAATTGTTAGTTTGAGACATATATCAGTGATGTGCTTTTTTCATGTGAGGGTGGTAATCATTTTAGGGACATGGATGGAAGAAGTGATTTTCCTTCCTTGCAAAAGTAAGAGGACTTTTTCAGATTATTTTGATTTCCTCCATGTCTCCAGTAGTCAAGATAATTTTGATTTTCTTCATTTCTCCAGTAAGTACATACATGTACTTTTGTCTATTACTTTGGAACTTTGATTAATGCTCTGTTTACTTTATTTAAATACCTTACCACTTTGATAATGCCACTTTCAGAGCATGCTGGGCATGCACACATTACTTACGCTGCCATCGAAAGAAGTCAGGAGGGGAGCTATGCCATTAAACCCTTGAAACAGAAACAGGTTGTGGATGGTCTCAGTTACCTACTACAGGAGATTTACGGCATAGAGAACAAGAACATGGAAAGAATGAAGGTGAAGTATTGTTTATTGAAAGCTTTCTCAAATAAGTCATCTCTTCAGAGTAAACCGGTACCTTTTCAAAAAAAAGGTACCATGAAATAACAGGAAAAGAATTTCCTCAGGATTTCTGTTGTTTTTTTTGGGTTTTTTTAAATAAATAGAAAAGGGTTAATTTGTAAATGTCTTATTTGATACAGTAGTAGGCATAATTGATTTTGGCAAGAAAGAACGGGAACTTGAAACGGGAAAGCCAGAGTGTGGTGTGTAGGCCTTCTGTTCAATGTTCATGGAACTGACAGACTACAGCATGCCGGTGAAAGCATGATTTTGTCTTTCAAGTAGGACTCTTATCGGTTGGTCTCAGGGTTAAAAAAACAAACGAACCCCAGTATATGTTCAAAAAAAAAGTTGTACCTCAAGATGCTGACTATTTTCCTGACCATGCAATGTCTGCTGAGATCCAGTTTACTTACATTACACCTCCAATTACCCATCAGTGCTCTGCTTATAGAATTTGTATCTAATGACAACAAGGACGATGGACAGCTAGATTCCTTCTTGGATCTCATGAAGACTCAAGCAGAAGAAAATTTGGGAACGGCAATGATTTTCACCCTTATTTCTGGTGTGCAAGAACGCATGACTGATCTGATGGAGAAAGCAGCGAAAGACAAGGAGGAAGCAGAGGAAAGACGAGTGAGGGAAGAGGAGGAAGCAGAAAGAAAATGATGTGAAGGCCCAAGAGTAACAGTGGAAACATTCATGGCATGGAAATTGAAATTTGATGCTGAAATAGCAGAAATGAGAAGACTGAAAGGCTATGATGACAGTGCTGCGAAAAAGCCTACTGGTAAAGCACTGTTCCTATCTGATAACACCATGAATGATTCTGGCGTGAAATTCCTTCATGCTGAGGGGGACACATTGGAAGTTCACGAATCTTTGTTTGAAAACATTGGTGGTCTTGATTTCGATGATGATTTTTATGATGATGACGATGATGATCCAGACTATAAACCAGGGGATGATGATTGGTGTCCCTTCTGACGAATATGGAGCCAGTGAATAGTGGTGATAGGATAATGTGAATGTGTGAAAAGTAAAGAAATCGTTTGAAAGTTGTAATGACTGCACACAAATGTGAAATATTTGAGACATTGTCTTCTTTGTGCGAATGTTGATTGAGCATTTATTTTGAATACAGCATTTGGGTCTTGTCATGAGAAATGTAAACTGTCCCTTTTGAGTATGTATGGATGCTACTGAGTGAGAAATTGTCTTAAACAAAGAAATATGTTACTTGTGGAAGGTACTGGGCATAGAATTAATGTGTCAAAGAAACATGTTTTTGTTGCCAAAAAGCTTTTGGTTCTGCTACTTTTGTTTTGACACATGGTAACAGCTGAGGAGCAGTTATACTACACTATAACCGTCCCACTTGATGTAATTGTGTTCATTGTTATATCGCTACCCTAAAATTACACAATTTTATCTGCTCGGTACCTAGTTTTTAGAAATCTGATGTAAAAGAATTTGAGTTCCACACCATTTTTTCGAATGCAGTTCTTTGAATATCTTGACAGCGACTTGGAATAATCTTACAATTTTCATAGAGCAGATAGAACATTTGATTTCTGATGTCATGGTCTTTGGAACTCAAAGTGGCCAAAAAGTTTCAGATACAACTTTGTAATTCTGACGTAACGATAATGTAATCTGTTATAACTTGGGCGTCCCTGTTTTGATTTTGCAAATATTGGCCAGCCTGGTTTTTAGAAGAAAATGGTAAAGCTAACTTAGCTTAATGATTTTTGAGCGGAAGGATAGAATTGAAAATTTACTGGCTTTTTTTTGTTGCATCCACAGGATGTTGATCCTGATGATGAGGTGGAAGATAGTGGTGCAGAGTGTGTTATCTGCATGTCTGACATGCGTGACACGCTCATATTGCCATGTCGACATCTGTGTCTGTGCAGCAGCTGTGCTGACTCTCTGCGCTACCAGGCCAGTATGTGTCCAATTTGCAGGGTCAAGTTCAGAGCTCTGCTGCAGATCAGGGCCATGAGGAAGAAAGTTGCTCCAACATCGACAAATTCTCCACAGGTTTGTTTTCTTATCACCGTCAAAGTAGGTTGAAGAGAAATAAATAAATCATCAGTTCACCATGTGAAGGTGCTATGTTTTCACTCTCTCATTGTTTTAAGACTTATAAATGGTGTGCTGTTTGCTGGGTTGATGAGACACTGGAGTGTGAGACTGACCGGAGTGAAAATCTGTTTCTGAAACTAATTTAGACATTTGGTGACTGGATCAGAGACATTGCATTGTTGTTGAGACATTTGTGTCAGGATGTGGTGGAATCAGGCACTCGTCATTTGGTTATATAGAGTTATTAGTACGATCGTATCATCTTAAAGATTGTTTGTGAGTGGTTGGCGGTTGCTCGGGTGTGGTTTGCTCCTTCTTTCCTATCAAACATCTATCGTCCTTATCTCCCCTTGTTCTTTTTTATGTTTGTTACTCTCTTGTAACACCTCTAATCTTCTGGCGCTCTTATGACCTTATGCAGTTGTGAGCGCCGTAAAACCTCTACTAAAACTAAAAGTTTGTTTGTCTTGTTTGTGTTGAAAAAAACCCCCACCCATCTATCTTGAATGGAAGTTGAGATATTTGCGATTGAAGGAAGTGGGGGTCACCTGATGTTTGAAGTAAAATAAGTGAGAAAATGGCCGCCAAAGTTTGATGACTTTCAAAGCTTGAATGTCCTGGAAAACTGCATGTTTGCAATTTTTGTGCCTTTGATCAACGTTTTCAGAACTATTTACACAGAAATGCGTTTTTGAATAGATGTAAAAGGTGTTGAGCTGAAAAAAGAAAAATATTTTTTAAATTTGCCCAAGGGCCAGAAAAATACTGGCTTCTTTGATTTAATTATTTTGACAAGCGCCTGATTTCACTGCAATGCTTCACATTTGACAGTATTTCAGTGAGGGACACTTGACTGTTGGAACCTTTTTAATCACTTTCAGTCAGGCTGACTTCTGCCTTGTGGGTGGTTGGCGGGTGTTCTGATGTGGTTTGCTCCTTCTTTCCTACCAAACATCTATCGTCGTGATCTCTCCTCCTTCTTTTTTTGTGTTTGTTTTTCTCTTGTAACACCTCTAATCTTCGGCACTTATATGACCTTATTGTGTTGCAAGTGCCGTAAAACTCTTACTTAAACAAAAATGACTTCTGCCTAGCCGTATTTTCCTTTTCAGTCTTTGTAAAGTGTGAAAAATCTGAATACTTGTCATCTTGTTTTGCAGTCTGATTCTGAAGACAATCCTGTGAATCAAGAAGGTGTACCTCAAGGGTATGAAGCAATATCTCTGATAGAAGCTCTCAATGGACAAGTTGTTCCTCCTATCAGTAACGAAGGTAACAGTGGCATTGTCTCTGTCCTTTTCAAAAGCTGATTTTAATGCAAAGAAAGTGTGGGGCAAATTTTGTTGTGTTTTGAACATTATTTTCTAATTTTTTAAAATTGCTTTGTACTTTTTGTCGTTTTCTAAATGATTTAGAGAAACATAAAGATTGATGAGTATCCCGTCAATTTTTTTTTTGAAGATTCTTTAAAGAGATTACATGTGGGTGGTTGGCGGGTGCTCTGGTGTGGTTTTCTCCTTCTTTCGTATTTAAACATCTATTGTCCTTAGATCTCTCTTCCTCCTTTTATGTGTATGTTACTCTCTTGTAATACATCTATCCTTCTGCACTTATATGACCTTATTGTGTTGCAAGTGCCGTGAAACTCTTACTAAAACGATTATATCTTGTAATACCATATAAATGAAAATTGAGAGATTTAAATTAATTTTGTTTTATTGTTTTCTTGTACTTTCAATCTCCCTAGTTGTGAACTTACTTTATTGAAAATTGTCCGTACTCAATGATGTGTAATGAAAAGGTACTTTTCTCTGGAAACAGGCGTCCACCTGCAGATATCTGGACCACCTTCTATGTTCTCAGTGGAAAAGAAGGGCCAGAAGGACAATAAGTGAGTGATATTATCTCTGTCACTTCCTTCTTCCTCTTCTGCATTTTTTTCCACTATCTTACACCACAACCGACTACCTCTTGGGATCTGAGGGAATTTTTGGTACTCACCATGGAACTATGATGTTTTGCAGTTTGGTTGCCCCACATTTTGCTGGGAAAGTGTGTAACCTTACAAAAGATAAAAAGAAGCTGCTTAAAAACGAAAAGAAACATGAAGTAACGCAGAAACAAAATCTAAGTTAAAAGGGAGTCTCAGTTTTGGATGCCTTTGAAAGAGTATGTACACAAATATTCGGCAACTATAATTATGATCTTTTTGTGTTGCAAGTGCCGTAAAACACTTACTAAAACAAGAACCCATATATTTGGGGTTTTTTTTTTCAAAATTAGTTTCATTTTTTTGTTCTGATAATCCAAGTGATGAAGAGGACCTAAGAAGAAGATAAATCTTTCAAAAGAGATTTTTCAAATTAATTTTTTAAGCAATGAGATGACTATTGTGTATTGTTGTTTTTATAATATTGCTTATGTTTAAAAATCTAAATTTTAAAGGTCTAGTATACAAATGTTCTAATATGTATGTATGTCAGTTGTGTCTGTAGTTTATTTCTGTAAGAGTGTCATCAAGCACCTTTGGTTGATTTTAAGTACTGTACAGACTAATTATGATGATTATTTTTTCTTATTATTAGCACACTTTCTTTCACGCTCTTCAGGTATTTTAAAAAACTTTTTTCCTCCAGGATCACTGTGTCAGGACCTATTGAGTATCAAAAAGAAATGGACACAGATAAAGAAAGCAGTAAGGGTACGCTTGAGAAGAAAAAAGATGTTGACAAGGTATGTATGCTTTTGTTTTGCAACAATGGTATTAACTCCTGTTGGCCAGAATGACACAGAGTATGTCATTATCACTTCATCCCGTCCACCAAATCCATGTCAATAATACTGATTATGCTGGTCATCTTAGAAATACAATGGGTGTCGCATTCCATGAGGTTGCCGAGACCGGCTTGTTGTCCTCGTTAGATCCGACTAAAGAAAAGAAAGGAGGCAAGTTATTACACGATGTACCAATATCAGTTATTAAAACAGTTGTTCCCCCTGATGACGAAAATCTCAAACAGCATCAGTGTGCGCGTGTTTGAGCTGTGTTCTGACGGTCATTTCTGCATTTTAAAATATTTTTTTCACGGAACACTTTTCATGTGGAAACATACCCTCTCTCATCTAGGCCTAGTGGCGGGATCTTGGATTTTCTGATCAGGGGAAGCAAAGAAAATTGAAAAAAATGGTCTCGGTCTAGACCTACCCATCCAGAGTTCTTCCAGTTTCACACAGCCTACATCGCGTTCCCATCCACCCTCTCCCACCCCTACCGTAGGCCAACCCTCGCCCATCCTCTTGGCTTTGGGGTCCATATTAAGAGGCACACTAGATCTAGCAATACAATGTGATAGGAATTGAGGATAGGCTTTGTGTTTCACGTGAGATAGAGAGAAAGGAGAAAAAGTTTCGCTTTTGTGGCCACTAATTCACGGCTGTTCAGTTTTACTATCCTTGCGGAGCACTTAGTTTGACCCGTCCGCTGACCTCCTGGGGTCATAAATCCCCCCTGACAGTCGGGCCACGCGTCGCTTCCTGGGCGATAGCGCTGTTAGCCGATTTCAGTTGGAAAGTCTGTCATTTTCACTTGATTTAGACCCCTGTAAATGTCCTCTCTTATCTATCACTATGGGTGTGTGAGGTATCAAATAAAAGCTCAGATTCTCCCCAATAACATGCACCCTTTAGTTTGGTTCTAGTTGTAATCGCGTACACACACTGCCTCTGTACTTAACCCTACCTTGTGGTGCATGTATTTCTCGGATTGCTACAAAAATCAGGGTTTTTTTTCATTCGTGAACTTCAGATTGTAACTAGTTTTTTATCTGCTGTATTAAGAGTCAGTAAGGGGGTTATTTGTGAAAAAATTGTTTTGATTGGTTGAAAAACTTTAGCAGAACAGCGAGTTTTGTTACTTCACCCCGTAATATTTTCCCGGCCGCCGCGCTGCCCGTACGGTATTCACCCGAGGTCCCGCTTTCACTTTCTGGGATTCTGTGTCGACACATATTACGAGAGTTTGCTACCAGAGTGAAAACGGAACGCACGCGGGAACTACACCTTGAGTGTTTTAAAAGTTGTGTAGAACGTGCGAGGACAAAAGTCAAAAGGTTAAGAAGGCAAACTAGAGAAAATATTTTTGTGTAAATTTTAAGAATGACGTATTCGATTCTCGTTCTCTATCATGTGAACGTGGACTGGGATAGTGCAGACACACATCCTGTACACTGTGCAACAAATGTGTAGATCTACAGCGCATTTAAACCTTAAAGATTTGAGAAGCAACCCTAGCTGCAGCACGAAAAAGTATTGAAGAAAGTTCACACATCTGGACACCTTTCGATCAAAATAAAACAGTAGATGCTTGCTCTGTGTGTTTCCTTTGCACACTTCAAAATAAAGGTTGTATTAGAAAAGTACATCAAACACCGTCTTGCCCAAAAGACCCACCAGAGCCTCCATCTGTTGAAACACCGACCCATGTAATTGTAGCAGACAAACAATCACATGAAAGTACTCAACAGACATCCATAGATCTAATAGATCAATCATCACTAGAAATATCACCAGTGAATTCCCCACACAGAGATCTAACCCTTGAGACACCAGCCGCGACTTCAACATCCAAACGTACACAGAAAGAGTTCAAAGACAGTGCAACATCTCCTTTCACACAGTTTAAAGACACATCACTAGAGCATGCACTTCAGAGACTTATTACACTACCATTGTCTCATTTAGAAGAAACACTCGCTACACAAATGACACACAGAAAACGTTACTCCTCGGCAGAGAAAAGGAAGGTACAGTTGATTTGGATATGGCCTAGATCTAGGTTTAATGAGCGAGGAGGGTGGCGAACTTGTTCACTTCAGCATCGCAAAACTGGAGAAGAGAACAGTGGGAATTAAGGGAAAAGGGAAGCAGTTGAAAGCTGTTACTGAAGGGAAAGAAGAGGAAGACAACTAGCCTTTGAACTCAAAGACACTTTTGCATTTATTGTTATGAGTATTCATATTTGTGTTTGTGAAAATGAAAGCAGCTCTAGCTGTGGGAAGACAATGAGGAAACTCCCGTTTCACGAATAAGATAGCAGTGAACCTTCTACGAGTTAACTATTTCTGCTTGAACTGGGAGGAGACAACGAAAAATCTCTCGTTTCATGAGCTGGACAGTAGTAAATCTTCTACAATTTCCACGTTTCTGAACCAATCGATCCAAAAATAAGTGTTTCTGAAAGCTTATCATGTCACTGTTGTATACCACTGATTGTTTTATAGATCTGGGGTTCACATTTTAAAATATCGTAATTTTAAAAAGTAGACCCATGTAAAAATTTCCCTCAAAGTTGCCCCTAATTGCGCCATGTTTTAAAGGGTGCCCAGCTATGAATATCAATAAAAAGTTATTTGCTGTAAAGCTCAAGAATGCCTCTATCTGTTGATAGTATTTTGACTTTGATTTATCTGTGGGCAAAGCCACGATGACGATATTAAACTGTATAAAAATTGTTAAGTTACAACAGTTCACTCATCCAACAAAGGTCAAAGTGACCTCCCTGACCACCCGGGCGCGGCATGGCTGACCGGGTCAATTTCTCAGGTAACTAAATGCTCCGCTCGGGAACAGATGTAAATTCCTTTTATTTGGTTATCGCAACCTCTTTGAAAGCGACTTCGGTCTGTTTGCTGCCTCGTTGGAGCTGTCGTACATTTACAAAGAGATAATATAGAGGAAAAATCGGGGATAAAGGATTGCCTCGTTGGAGCCGACTTCTCGTTGAATGTAACTTCGTTGAAAGCGACACCCACTGTAGACCTGATGATATTTCCTTACTTTATCAGAATTTGAAGGTATATTTTTCAAGTGGTAGTGCGTTGTGTTACCAACAATTTTGGATCTTTAGTCCGAGTTACTTTCCAAAGTAAGTAGGCCTATGTTGATTAAATTCCTGTGCAATACATCGGCTTTTTCTGCATTTAATCTCACTATCTGCTTCCCTGATATTGCCAATGGTTAATTTTTTGGCATGGTAAATAAAGTCAATCTTAATGCAAAATTATCAGTGAAACAAATTTTTACACAAATTCTGAATGACTCCACATGTTTAATTCTGGCTGTTCAGGAAAATCCATTGATTTAATCCTGGCTGATAGGGCTTTCATATATATATATATATATATTTGAGTTTACTTTTATTAGTTCTCTGGAACAAAGACAGAATAAGAAAGCCTCTTAAAACAGTTGATTAAATATTGTCTGATTATACTCATTATGCCCTTTTCTTATTTATAGAATCTGCGTGTCTCTTGTGAGTTTTGTACGTTTGACTTTTATGAGTGGGTGGTTGGCGGGTGCTCTGGTGTGGTTTGCACCTATTTTCCTATTAAACATTTATCGTCCTTATCTCTTCTCCTTCTTTTTTGGGTTGGTTATTCTTCTGTAAGACCTAATCTTCCGCACTTTTACACCCTAATTGTGTTGTTAGTTCCGTTAAACTCCTACTAAGATAAAAAGACTTTCACTTTGACAGTGCTCTTTTATTTATTCTTTGAGTGGCCCAAGTATCCCCATATTGGGGTAACTTTGGCCACCATGTGTTTTTTTTTTTTTTTAAAGATGTTACAGCTAGTATCAATGCATAGTTTTAAAAATATTTTCAACCAGGGGGCCCTCTGAGGCCATGGTTTGAAATGAAAACAGAGCTTTTACAAGCTGTGGTTCAGAGATTACATGCTTTGTAATCTGAAAAGTAGATCAAAGCTACCCATTTTTACAGTAATCAGTGTTTTTGTTGCTATGTTTTCTACAATCGAGCTAACAGCCAAACTCTTTTGGTTTGTGTTCAGGTCTTGTACACAACAGATGTGACTTCTACTGAGGCAAACTCTGATGCCACTCCAGATGAAGTTGCTCCTCGCCCTGTTGTGAAGGACTCGGCCCCTTCGCCTCTCAAGTCAACCGTTGTTACTGTCAGGTGAGTAGATCAGCATGCCTTTTTCATATCCAATTGTGGAAATATTTTCACAGCTTTTCGGTCGCTTTTGCTGCTGAGGATATTTTTTTTAAAACCCATGTTCATGGGTGTTAATGCCTTGTGCCATTATGTGCCTGAAGTAAATATGCCATTTTGTAAGCAATCATGAAATTTTGGAGAATCATTTGAATGTCCATTGCTCATAGACTAAGTAGTCAAGACATTTTGTAGGAATTTTTCTTTGCATCATATTGCATGGGTCCAGTACATTTAAAACATATTTCTTATTTCCAGGTGCTCCCCTGATGGCTCAATTACTACAGAGACAAAGATATCTCCTGTGAGAGAAACTGAGCTCATTCCAGCAAAGCCCGCCCAGAGACCCACCGAGGTAAAAAAGTTGTCGACAGCTCCATGATGTATCTTTTTTTGCATTTCACTGTCAGTTGGTGTGCACTCTCATGTTGTCTGCTCTGTCTATTTCTTTCCAAGGTTGCTTTTGTCCTTCTATGTTCCTGGCTACACAGGCCCCTGCAGCCCTTTATTGTGCAGACTTGCCATTAACTTCAACCAGACCACTACAACTTTATGCCCGCCTGTTTTTTTTAGTCTCATGTGTGTCTTCTTATTATGTTGCTCTTTAACACTTCCTTATGTGTGATTAATGAGAGTATGTGTCTCTTGAGATATCTGGTGTTGTAGATGTGAAAGTCTAAAATTAAATCTTTTTACTCCCATCTTAGTGTTAGTATGTACTGCAGCTGCCTCATATACGATGGTAGTAGTTTAGGATTTTTTAAACTTTCGATTATAATGCCAACGATTAGGGGGTGTTCAGAATTGGAATGTTGTTCAACACCTTAGTGACTAACCATTCTGTGGCTGGCAGGTTGGTCAGGACTATTGCTATCACCTATGCTGTCTGAGAAAAAAGTATACCTGTGACTAAGATTGAAATCCTTGTTGTTCCAACACACCAATGCCAAGCAAATGAGCTGACATGTGTTTATTTCTATTTAGAAAATATGAAGAGAACTTGTACCTTTATTCTAAGAAAGTTGGAGTGGTTTGTTTTACAGGCCTTGTTCTAATGACTTATTCTTGTTACTGGTCTCGAAGGGAGAGGAGTACCTCATCTACAGTGACTTGGATGTTAGTGTCACTTTATTATTTGTGTTGGCCTAGATGAGTTTAAGTGTAGACCTGCTTCATTGTGACTAACCAGTTGTGTGTGTGAAATAGTTGGCGGGTGCTCTGGTGTGGTTTGCTCCTTTTTTCCTATCAAACGTCTGTCGTCCATATCTCTCCTCTTACTTTTCTTTGTTTTGTATCTCTTTCACCACCTCTAATCTTCGGCGCTCACATGACGTATTTGTGTTGCAAGTGCTATAAAACTCTTATTAAAACTAAATTTAACCAATAATTGTGTGAACGAGAAGCATTTTCTAATGTTCATGTTTTATTTTTTTTATTCTCTTTCTTCTCAGGCTCAACGAGGAGCATTCAAGACAAACATAGACATAGGTAGATTAACCTGTGGTCTGTCGACCGGAGACATGGCTGATGATGAACGTGAGGACAGCTCTGAACCAGAACCAGAACCAGATTTTGAGGAACATGACAGTGGTTAGAAATGATTTCTTTTTTACATTCATTTATTGGTATAGTATTTGTTTTATACTTTGCAGTTTTTCTCTTTGACAGTGCTAAATTGATCGTTTGACTGCTTAGTGTAAGACTCTGGCGTATGCCATTTTGAAAAGTGATTATACATGTATGACTTTGTCTTATACTGAGCAGTCGATTTGAACACTGCTAATAGGTGTATATAAAGACTGTAAGGATGCTTTTTTTTCTCTCTTAACAGGTACTGACTATGTTTTAATGAACAATTTTCCTGCATTTATCCTCATTCTGATCAGTTGCCTCTGATTAGGGTTCTTGCCCTGGAAACTAATAACGATAGACTAATCGCTATTAATTTGGTAGGGGAAAACTTGTGCTTCAGATTGGTGTATGGCTGAAAGTATGTAATGTGACTGCTCCCGAAAGTGATTTGATTTACATAGAGAAGAGCAATGGATATCTACAAACAGAATAAGGGAGAAAAGGTTTTTCAGTTTTAAGAGGTCTGGCATTTAATGAAAACCAAAATTGTAGCAATGATTTTTACATGAATTTGTTTTTGGGATGTACTGCAACTGTGATAGCAGTTATGCTAAACAAATTTCATGCTCAAACTTTGCAGGTTTGATTTTGTAGTTTACGTAGTAGTCATCATTTTCTGACTAACGGTATTTTAATCATTAAAATTTTACTGGAATAACCTATGGCCTGCAGTGCCTTAGTCTAGTTATAGCTGATTAAAAGTTTCTTTCCCTTTTGCCTGTGCTAGATGATCCTGCCACTACTACAACCACCAGCAATCAGGATTACTATGGTGCCGGCTCAGCGTCGGGGAGCCTGTGTGAGCTGGCAGACACCCAAGCTGTCGTGGAGCACCACCACCATGAGTTTTCAGCTGCGGAACGGGGTGAGTTCTATGATCCACTTCAAGTGGTCAGCCTCACGGACATTCACAGCAGTGGCACAGAGGGCTCCAGTTTTGGCAGTAACTGCTCTAGTCACGCTCTGCTCAGCCCGGCTGAGCAACAAGTAGCACAGGTTGTCAGTGAGGATGTGGAGAGAGAAGCCAAACCGCAAGATAATCCAGTTGACTGAAACACCTGCAGGATACCCGTTGAGTGGTGGTGGATGGGACTAATGTGTGCTAACCTGCTCACTTATTACAACTCGTGCTGCCAGTCTTATAAGATTCATCAGTGCATGCTCTGCCAACTTCACTATTTTCTAATCTGTTGGGAAGTTTTGAATGGCTGAACTTTTTCAGTATCAGTCGCTTCCTTTGGTTCTATAACAACAGAAAACAATGCAGAATGCTACAAGGAGTTGTTGGAAAAGTGTGTCTGGTAGGCCTACTATAAGAACAGTTACAGTGTTTCTTGAACAATGTGCAATGCAGCTTCCTCAGATATTAGCACAAGCTAGCACAGATCTGAACTTTGTCTATTGAAAAGAGGAACTTGACATGAGACATTCTGATTTTGTTTTTGTAAATTGTTGGACAAAATTTCATACTTACTGCCTCCTCAATGACTTATGTTTCCTTGTTGCTGTTTACTTGAAACGTCCTGTAGTTTTAAAGCGAAGTCACAATTTGCAGATATGCGACTGGAAGTCTTTGAGATAGTTATGAGTGCTTACGTTGCACTTTCATGTTGTATTTTGCTTGTTTTGAATGCCTGAAAGGTTTTCTTTTACCTGGTTGGAGTGAATGTACTGTGGTGTAAATACTTTTGTGCAGTTTTTCAAAGTTTGCTATAAACAGTGCACAGTGTTGATAATTTATTGCTACAGTTCACATCTTTTTGATGGAGATTGTTTTGAATTTCTTGCAGAAGCCTCAAGTATGAGCTACATTTTGTGTATGGTGCCCTCTTCAATGTCGAAATAATGAAAGGGGCTTCTTTAAAATTCTAAATGATGTGGGGAATTTTAATATTGCGATGTTTTAGCAGGTTGTTTTGTGTTTGTGTTTGTGTGGTGTTTCTGAAAAGTGTTTTATCTGCATAGAGATATCTAAGAAGACATTTTCCTGCACAGTTACACCGATAGATAAGGGTGTTAACGTTGCAGTTTTACTTTTAATTCTGTGCCTGTGGATTGCTGGAGAAGAATTTTCAGTTCACTCTTGTGGTGACTCCAGCTGTCTGTTAGTTACATCAGTGGGTATTACTTATTAGTCATTCCTAGGGGCACAGATTGATTGGGTGCTGGGCATTCTCGAACCTGGGGTCGTTTTGATGAGTTTTCAAGGCTCTCGACCTATTTGGCTCAGTCCTATCAGATACGGACGCTAAATACAGAGGTGCCACCTCTTGAATAACCAAATAGTGTTGATTAGGGCCTTAAACCCATGCACTTATTTACAGATTGACTGTTCGATCAGGAAACCTGCGGCTGAAAGTGTAGCTCACCGATTGATGGTTTTGGCAGTGTTATCTATGGAACTATTGGTTGGCCAATAATTAACCAGCTGGTTAGACCCTTCTGTATTGTGTGTGGGCGAATTCGCTGAAATAAACATGGTTGGGGAGGGGGGGATATTACAGTTAATCAGGTAATAAAAGCATTTAATTGGTGTACACGTTCCAAATGTGTATAGACTCTACTAAAAATGAGACACTTGTAATATATTTCTGGTTCAGGCCTTTTTTTGTGCTTTCACTTGAGTTTTGAAGACAGTTCTTTATTGTAAATGTTGCTTCCAAGATTTCAAGAATTCATCGCCATCCTTGACAAAATGAACGAATCTTAGTATGGAACTTTTGCGACAAGTGCTATAAATGGTAATGGAAATGTTTTTTAAGGTATTTTTGATGATTGTAAGTGATTTCAATGACTTTTCTTTGCCTCAGGAAGACTTGGAAAGTGATGATTCAGATTGGGATTATGATGTGGATAAGTCGAACGAGAGATCTAGATCTAGATGTGCCCCATCAGCTAGCTTATCAAATCAGGTTTTTTTAGTATACTTTTATTATGCATGAAATACAATTTGTCTGGGGTTGTTTTGTTGTTTTTTTGCTTCAATAACAACTTACTTGGTTGCGTACTACAGTATTCATTTCGAAATTGCATTGCCAATGTTTTCCACAAGTAAATGATCATAACTATTAGAATGTTTTACTAAAAATACTAAACCCATGCATTTTCTGAAAATTAAAAAATTTTCTCCAACTATAAAAACAGATTACAACCTTAGTTTCCAAACGTCTGGGGATGATTTTGATTGTTTCAGATTTTCTCATTTTGGTCAAAGATTAAGGACAAAGTGTTTGAAATTTTATTATTTGCATGAACTTCAGTGTGAAAGTTGACCAACCCATCCAGTTTCTTTTCCGAAAATGTATGGTTTTAGGTGCTTTGACTTCCCTCCGATCCTTCTACCTTTTATGGTCAGACCCTTAAAACATGTGCACACACACACACACACACACACACACACACACACACACACACACACACACACACACACACACACACACACACACACCACACACACACCACACACACACACACACACCACACACCACACACACACACACACACACCACACACCACACACACACACACACACACACACACACACACACACACACACACACACACATGCACAGAGAGAGAGAGAGAGGGGAGGGGGGGAAGAGAGAGAGTGTTAAAATCCTGATATCCCACCATCCCTACTATACATCCAGCTTCATGCCCCTCTCAAAGTTGACTCATTTTTTTCTCATTGTTATACCAGCACATAGTGGGAAATGGTGAATTTTGCATTTTCTGAAACATTATCTGGTCTAGATTTTCACTTGGGCATCATTTAAGAGATATGTAAGTACAGCATGTACAATATTCTTGTGACCTAAATGGAAGGATATATAACAACTAGTTTTGATAAGATGATAATTTATGAGTTCATCAAAGTAAAGGCTGTGTGTGGTGTCTAAATGGATGTTCCTGGGGAAAAAATGTTATGGTTGCTCATTAATTTTTGTTTGGTATTTCAGTGATTTTTTGAGACACCTGTTGACATATTATATCTATATGGTTATTGAGGGAAATATTGTTTGCAGTGTTGCCAGGGGAGATTTTTTGTTTGTTTGTTTTTGTTTTGGCAAGTGTTTTACAGTGCTCGCAACTGCATAAGGTCATATGAGCACGCTGGACACACTAAACATTTTCAGTTGGTAAGAAATTTTTAATTTTGCTCGGATATCTGCTGAAGCCTACTCTTATCGATTTTGGACTACTAAAAGATCTTTAATGAGCGCAACTTGCAGACAGGACCTCCAAGATTTTTCGCCCTTATCCGAGAAGGCTAGGTGTCAAGATCTTACCCACCATAAGATCAGGTGTGTGGCTGAAAGACAGCTGTAAGGAGCCAAAGAGTAGTAGTAGTAGTAGAAAGGCTGCAAAAAGAGTCAGGAGCTGAGAGGAGGGGGCAAAGGAGGTGAGGGGTTGGGGCAGAAAATGAAGACAAAATCAGACGACAGAACATTGTTAGAGAGCAGGAAAGGAGGTGAAAGAAGAAATTTTTAGGGAAGAAAATTTTCCGTTGCTGTCTGGATTTGAACCCAAGACCTGTTGAATGAGAAGCGAAAACCGTAACCACGAGAGCCCATTCTTGAGGAGAGAAGAATGAGGAATTTAATTGACTTTGAAAAAAATTTGACAAGCTTCTAAGTTTGATATGATATGGAGCAGAAAGTAATAAGTGGCTACTTATCTTGAGCTTTATTGTCGAATATGATTTAATAAATGTTAATGCTTTGCTGATTATACTTACGTATTTTTCCTGTAATGAAGTGGAAATTATTTGCAAGTTGTTCTCCTTATGTGTGCTCCTGCTGTATACTGCAAAATGCGTTTTATATAGAAATTTTGTAAAATCCCCTTTGTTGCCTTAAGACGCATATATGGTTCGTCATGAAAATGCGCAATATTTACTATGGCTGTTGTGCAAATTCGCAAAATTTTCCGTTCCTGGTTGCCATGTAAGACTTTGCATGTACGTCTCACTAGTCCCCCTCCTTTTTTTTTTCAAGACTTTTAGAAATTGAGAATGTTAATTTGGAAAAGAATATGATGATGAGTCTTATATCTGACAGACTCTGCGACTCAAGCAACAGGATTTATTTCACAAAGGAAGCAATATTTTGAAAGTATTTTTTGTTTTTAACTTTGATTGTCTTATTTGTGAGCTTGTCATAGTTGTATGACCTTTGGAGATGGTGTTGTCATGCTGGTCAAGCAGTGCTGACTGAAAGGGAATGATTAGAGATACATGTTAACAGAAAGTTTTGGGACTGACTTGGGTAAAGCGTCGTTACATACTGTATACAGAGTAGGTAGTCATGCCCTTTTTAAGATCGGTTCTGTCAGTGAAATTACTGTTGAGACAAATCTTTACATTTTTTTAAAAGCATGTACATGATGATGCTAGTGCTTTGATATGCTGTCAATTCCTAAGCAGTTGTTTCATTTAATGAAGACCACCTACAAACTGTTTGTATACTGAAGAGAGCAGCATCCACAGTCTCTGTGGAGAATGTAAATTGTGATTCACGTTTATTTATGTACATGACCAAACTGATCCATTGTTTACTTGTTGAAATATTATGTCAAATTCAGCTCCTTTAAAATGTGCTACAACCTCCTCGTAACAGAAATGTGTGACATTTGTAAGCAAAATGACTCTAGAAAAATTGTTTTTTTACTGAAAGGTGTTGATTAGAAACACTACTTTTAGAACAACAGTACCCGGTAGCTGTAGGCCTACTTCTGATTACATGTTCATGTTTCCTTTGGCCCTCAGCGTTTGTTTCATTTCCTGCAAATGTTAAATGTTAACAATTTGGCTTTTTTATTGGAAAAGAATGTACTGCACCTTCTTCTGAGTTGAAAGATGACTTTTCTTTGTGAAGAAATTTAGTATTTGTTTCAAAAACATGTCTATTTTTCAAGAGGACGAATAAAAGAGTTTGAAGACTCTTTTGATGTTAGGTAAAAATTTAACTGAAACTGGGGTCACTGAATGAGGGTGGTTGGCTCCTTTTTTCCCTTTTTTCCTATCACACATCTATCGTTCTTATCCCTCCTCCTTTTCTTTGTATACTCTCTAGTAGTAGTAATAGGCCTACCTCTAATCTTCAGCACTTATTTGACTTTTTTTGTATTGCAAGTCCTGTCAAGTTAAACTCTTACTAAAACTGAATCAAGCTAGACTAAGATCTTTGTGGATTTTAACTTGCTGAAAGATTTTGCAACGCTAGCTACAAAGAGGTGGCATGTTTGGTGCTATTGTATGGTATGTCTACTGGAATGTGAGTAATTTTTAACACTGTTTCTTCTGACTCCTACTTCTTAATATTTCACTTTTCATAAGTAGGCCTACTCTGTAACTGTAAGTACTTTATACATTATGTTAAAAAATTGTGCGTTTTTTTCCTTCATTTGTATATACGTGTATATGGAAAAAGTAATGGTACAAATCTATGTTATATCATAAAATGTAGCTGTTCTGTATAAAAGCATGTGAATGAAATGGATGTATAATTTTTAAGTTGCTGATTGCTTTTGATTGGTATGGATGATTAATGACAGTTTGTGCTTTGCTTCAGAGCCTTATTTATTGTCAAGTTATTCTGTATTGTAAACCGAGTTCTGTTTAAAAAACATGAGCAAAATGAAACACAAAACGTTGAACATCATCACAATAAACACATGTGAACAACAAGAAGAAATGAGAAGTCTGGTATCCTCATTTTCCTCTGCTCATGTTTGGTTGGTTATGTGTTGTTTATATTATTTTGTACGGTAATAAGGGGCAATCCAGCCCAATTTTTTGTTCTGTCACACCTAATACCTACGACTTACTGATCTTCTCTTCTTCTTCTTGTTCTCCTCCTCCTCCTTCTAAAAAACACCTGGGTTTTTTTCTATCAAACATCTATCGTCTTCATCTCCCCTCCTTCTTTTTTATGTTTGTTACTCTCTTGTTACACCTCTAATCTTCGACACTTATATGACCTTATTGTGTTGCAAGTGCCGTAAAACACTTACTAAAGCTAAAACAATACGAAATTAAACATGTTCCTTTTCACTCTCAGGCTTCTCTTGGTGGATCGGGTTCTTTTCCTTCTTGACGTGTTTTTTGGTGAGGTTTATTATTATCAATTTTTTAAACGTTTTGTTTCTTTTTTGGTGTAATTCTTGCACACACCCCCCCCTCCCTCCCTCCCTCTCTCTCTCTCTCTCTCTCTCTCTCTCTCTCTCTCTCTCTCTCTCTCTCTCTCTCTCTCTCTCTCTCTCTCTCTCCCTTTCTCTCTCTCTCTCCCCCCCCTCCCTCCCACCACCACCCCGCTGTTCCTCCCTCCCTGAGGATATTTGATGAATGGTGCCGCGGATTGGTCCTATTTATTGATTTTCCTTGTTGTTTCTCTCTATAAATTCTCCATGACCGTTATCGTGTACACGTCGACTCTGGGACTACGTGCCCGGTAACCTTGTACGTAGACACTCCATTTAGGAAAAAATCACGGACAGGCACAAAAGGTCAACCGAAAGTGAAAATTTGCGATCATTGAAATGCCCGTCTCCTCACAGTCACAGATCAGCCACTGACTCTCATGAATGTGATCAGATGTGATCACATGCCTGTTGCAAACCTCGATGAAAAGGTACAATGTTTGCTCCGACGGGATCACACCGGGATGTGAACTGACCGACCGACGCGTTTGTTTTCCCCAGCCATCGCGCTCGCATCTGAGCTTACCATCCCAGCTGTTCACATCGGAATGTGAACTATTCCCTGACCATTGCAGAAGCTGTCTGTACTCCCGAATTTGCAAGACAGACAAGATTTTAATTGGTGTGGTCACAACACATCGGTGCGTAACGTCAAAGGCGGGGGAACTGTCAGAGATGGACAGGTGAAGGGGAGGAGCAACTGGGTAGGTGTAGTAAGCGTAGAGACCTTGAGACTCACGATAGGATAACGAGTAAAAATGGCATGTCTTTTGCCACTGTGATTGGTCGTCACGGCTGACCATTCTTTACTCGCCATAAGTCATTAACCCACCCACGGGGTCACGACAGTTCATTTTAGAGTAGAACGGAGACCATTTTACCAGTTGTAGACCTAAACATGGTCGTCGTCGATTCTTTCTTTGGTGCGTCGGCTAAGGTCCCACATTTTCTTTGCTCCCGAGCACTGGGAGGGAACTTAGACGGAGACTACTTTTTGTACTTTTCCTAATAAAATTGAATCTCTCTCTCTCCACTTTTGAATTTCTTTTCACTACCCCCTCCCTCTTTCTCTCCTCCCCCTCCCCCTTCTTCCCTTCTTTTTTCTGCCTCTTATTCTTTTCCCGTCACTCTCTCGAAGCCTGTATTCCCAGTACTTCCTTTCCTCTTGTTCTCACCAGTCACTTTTAATCCTGTTTGTAAAATTAACGTGCTTTTTCTCATTTGTACGC